TGTAAACAAACTGAACATACACAAGTGTGGAGGCCCTTATGGGTTGCACTCCCAAGTCCTACTATCTTTGCAAGGTTGTGGCAACTGAAAAAAATCCTGAAAAGTGGAGGAGAGTGAATGCCACTCCTTTGTTCATGAAAGGCATGAATCTGGTGAACTACGGGCTGGTCAGCCTCGTCTTGATTTCTGGCAAGGTGGTGAACCATTTCCAGGCATGTGAAGGACAAGAAAGGGACCAGGAGTAGGCACCACTGAATGAAGAATGGAAAGTCATGGTGAACCAGCCCAGATAGTCTGCTACACAGCCTGAGGGAGACAAGTCAYTCATGGTGCATCCCAGGGATTGACACTGGGGTCAGTTCTGTTTAACATCTCCATTAACGATGTGGCTGATAGTGCAGAGKGCAGCCTCAGTCAGTTTGCTGATGATATAAAACTGGGAGGAGTTATTGGTACAGTGGGTGGCTGTGCTGCCATTCAGAGTTATTTCCAGACTCATCCAGCTGCAGAAAAGAGGAGGRCAGAGGAACCCCATGAAGTTTCACAAAGGCAAGTGCAAAATCCTGCTGGGGGGGGAAATAATCCCATGAGACAGTTCAGGCTGGAGACTGACTTTGTAGAGAAGGACCTGGGGTTTCCTGGTGTGCAGCAGGATGTCCATGAGCCAGCAGCATGCCCTTCTGACAAAAAAGGCCAGTAGTATCCTATAGAGTGCATTAGGAAAAGCATTGCTGTTAGTTTGAGAGGGGTGATTCTTCCCCTCTACTCAGCCCTGGTGGCACATCTGGAGTCCTGGGTGCCCTTCAGGTGGATCCACAGGTACTGATGTTCTCAGCTCTTACACTGTTCTTTTATTGGTAGAGTGATGGTTGTATGGTGAGAGAAGTTGAGTCTGCACTTCTCTTCATACAGGACCTCTTGTCAGAGCCCAGCCTCAGAAGGCATCTGCTTGCACCTGAACACCACAACAGCATTTTTTGGCATAAGGTTGCTTATGAATGATTCTGATGAAGTGCTGATTAGAAGGTGAAGATTAGTAGAAGAAACAGTATTTGTTCAACAAAACCCCTGCTATAATTTCAAGTGATTTGTGAAACATTTGTTCCCCTCTTTGATGTGATCCCTACATTATGGTCCTTATGGAATGTATGATTTTCTGTAATCATARTTGCAAGTAAGTGAAATCCATTTTTCTTAAGCAAAGAGATGCTTACAAGACATAAGAACTGAAGTATGTAAAAAGCAAAGAATAAACTTGAGGGCATTGCATATTTTGTACGGACAGTAGCTGTGCTCTGGTTCATTTTTCTATTTTTTGGATCATACAGAATAGCTTGTTCTTTTAAAAAATATTTATTTTTAAYCACGGAGAAATGGATACAACRGCAACATGCCTCCAGGGTGAAGCCCAGCATTATTTTACTCGTTAGTGTAAACCCGTAAAGCAGTACAGGGCAAGCACTGCTGTGTTATCCCTCTGTGACCTCCTGGAGTTCACAGGGGATGTAAGGGGTAAAGAGCAGCTGCCTGACTCCGTGTAACTGGCTGCAACAGAATGTGCAAACCTAATACTGTAGGGCAATGGCCATTCATTCTGGATTCATGTTACTGACTGTAGTTCTGTCCAGACCAGGAAAGGACATGCTGTGTCAGTGCTGTGGTAAGAGGAAAAAATATAATTAAGCTATTAAAAGAGAGAATCCTGAGCTGATTTAAGAAATCAAAACCACTCAGGGCAAAGTAGATAGCTGACCCAAACTGAGACAAGTGCAAGAGAGTTTACAGGGCAAATTCATCTCTGAAACAATTCCTTTCCTTTTAGTAGAACTACAGTAGGTATGAATCTGACCTATGTGGGTCACCTCATAATAAAAGAGGGATCTTCCAAGTCTCAAGATAAATTGTTCTTCACTTTGGAAATGTTGCTTACATAGAGCAGGAACTGTGCTGTATTGTGATGACTGATTCATCTGGAATGCATGCTGCAAACTGTACGAGCTAAGTTATTGGAAAAAATGAGAGTGGAGTTTTTGAAAACTGATTTCCCAAGAAAACAAGCCCTATAGGAACACTCTGAGTGTGTTGTCTCAAAGGACGTTTCCTGATAACTTTTAAAACCATTGACTACTTTTAAACAAATTTCAAAAATAAATTAATGTGAAGAAGTGATCCTATTTCTAAAAATTTTGTGAAAATTAAGATAGGGCCTTCTGACTGCCTTTATCAGTCGAAAGACCAGTACTCTGACCTTTTATTAGTATAACAGACAATATCTGGSCAAGAAAGAGATTTCATTCATTATTTTTTTTTCTCTTCTCATCTCTCCTCCTTTTTCACAAGAGAGGTCCCTACTAAAGCATTAAATTATTCTTAACTATCYGTGGGAACATTATCTGCTCTTAATTAAAAGTCACACATAACCTTGTATTCATAACAACAGGGCATAGACTTCATCTTTGGTACATTTTGCCACTTTGAGCAATCATTTTCCAAGTGAGTACAAGGCTGAGATGTGTGAGAATGGAAAATTTTATCTGTTGTCAAGTTATATGTGTAGCTTCCAGTCTGTAGAATGTGTCATTGAGCATTACACAAACGCTTAATGAGTTTATAGGCTAAACAGGAAGGAAGAGAAATTGAAGTATTGGGCTAGGCAGAAAGCTAGTGATGAGAACCAGAACAAATCCTGATCCCTAATCTGAACTGTATCTTTTAGCCTTACAAGACACGTCTCCTTAGCTCTGGTGTATTGCTCTTGAGAAACACCTGATGTCAGAAGTATATCTGTAAAGAGACCATCTTTCCTTTCTTTTTCACCCCCCCTGCTGTTGAAATAATTTCCTGTCTTAGCTGGTTAACCTTTCCTACTCATTCCTATTTTCATGTAATTTCTTATTATAGTTGCAAGTTAATCACAAATCTATTGAGAGCCTTCTCTTTAATCTAGCAGCCTTCGTTTACTTTCTGTGTCATTTAAAACCGTTGTGCTACGGTTAAGAGTGCCCAATTACATTCACTGCAGGAGAAAAAACAAGTGATCAGCAGCCTACGATTTTAGCACAAGATATCTTCAAATGGGAAAACAAATTAGGTGCCTAAAAATAAAATTAAGAATTCATGTGCCAGATTTGCTTGTACTCAGTGACACAGAATGTCTGGTCAGATAATTGTTAACCTTTTCTCCCTAAGTAAGAAAATAAAAAGGTGATCAGTTCTAAACCAGAGGACAGGCACTCTTGAAAAATCTGTACAGATGATATATTTTAGAGCATCTGACACTCCAGTTTCTTAAATCTCATTGTGCACTTGCTGTYGCATAACAAAACACCAGAGATTTCTCTGACTCAATAAACAGATTCATATACTAATACAAAAATTATTAGCCCCCTCACACACACTCTTCTGTATGGTCTAGGGGTGAAAATAGGGATATAACACACACTGACTAGTAAGTTATGTGCACATAT